TTTCCTTAAAAGAAAAAAGATGAACAAAAGACAAATCCAATATATATTAATATCTAGTGCCTATTCAATATTTATAAGAGTATTATGCAAAAAATACAGTTCTCTTTAATATTTAGTATGGTATTATACAAAAAAATATAACCTTATTTAATATTAAAGTTTAAAAAGTAAATCCAAAATATGTCTAACCAAATACAAAAAGAAATTGGATCAGAATTGATTTTTATTAATTAGGAATAAATTAACAATTAAAAACGGACTTTGATGTTCTTGATGTTTTTGTTTTTGTACTTTTAATAATTATGAGAGTACTTTAATCACTGAGAATTGATTTTCAATAGGCATTGTTGCTTTTTATTTTTAAAAAGTAATATTTTTTACGATATCATATAACATAACTCACTATAAGCTACCTAATCTAATTTTTTACACGAGTGTCACTAAATAGAAAGATTAGAGAGCTTGAGATGAAAAAGGAGAGAGCGAGAGTGGAGAAGAGAAAAAGTTGAAGGAAAGTGAAATTGATGAGAGATTAGAATTTGAATATTTTATTTATTTCTACTTTCAAGATTCAAAAATTAAAAATTAAATTTTAAGTAATTTAATAAAAAACAAATTAAAAAAATTCAAATCATTTCAAGTAACCTGATTCACTCATAACCCAATTTATTTGGATTCAAATAATTTTAATTAGAATCATTTTAAATTTTAAATTAACACATAAAATTTATAACCTTATCCGTAATAAATAGATTGAATCAAACTTTCAAATTAAATTCTATTTTGTCAAGTCTAGCAAAGTTAGCATCGTGCGTGTAAAAGGCCCCAAATGCATAATGACTTCACTGGCCCACTATTTATGATAAGGTTTATATTATGTACTATTTTTCAATAAATTCTTGGCCTATGAAATGAGTTTTCTATGACATCACCTTTTGATAAATTAATCTTTGAATGATGAAACTAAAGTGATGTGTTTTATGTCAAGAAGACAAGACAGTCATATCTTGTTGCATGGTACATTCCAAATGGCAATTAAATATGTTTATATATTTAAACAATTTTTATGCCAAAAAA